GAGACCCCAGGGTGGGGTGGAGTCCTCAGCACCCACCATCAGGAGAACTGAGACCCCAGGGTGGGGTGGAGTCCTCAGCAGCAGGGGACATTCACGGCTCTCCTGAGTGGGTGGTTATTTGGAAAATGATACTGAAGGGTATTTGACCCATCTGAGGGAGTATTTTAAAACAAATTAGCTAGAGAATACACAGAAAGCAACACAAGTAGAAAGAAAAGAAAGGAAATGTGTACTTGGCTATAAAAATGTAAACAGTTTAAGAATAATACTTTATGATATGTTGTGTTCATAGATGAGATTTTATGTAACGCTTTAGAATGAATTTAAGGATCACTAATTTTCTTGAAAAGCTTTCTTACAAGGATAAAGACTTTCAGATGCTTTCTTGACTTACAAGAGAATCTCCGTGGTTAGGTGAATCATAATAAAATTGACAAGGTCACAGTGATTGAGTTGAAGAAATTGGTGGCAAATTCTGCCTCCTATAATATTACACTTTATAAAAGTGAACAGAGCTCTTCGTAACAAATTCTGTAAAAATATACTTTCCCTACCAAACATCTAGTCTCAAGGTTATAGGTTACGGTTCTGGGCAACCACTATTAAAACCAAATTTTGAAGGAGAACCTTGCCCTTTTCAACAAACAAACTTGTTAGAAACTAAATTTCCAGACCTCAAGTACAGAATATAGATACGGCTTAAATTTTGTCTTACAAAGTGAACACTTACTGGTTATTCATTGTTGTGTGTTCTCAAAGGCCCTAAGTCAGCAGTCTCTACTCAGTTAAATAGCTATTTGGACTTGTCCCTTATGGTTTCAAGCACAATTATTACAATATTTGGGGCTTACAAAAATTTTATTTTGTAACTAGCTTTTAATTTAACTAGATACTGTAAAAATTGGAAATTTGGAATATTCATTTCTTTGTACTGTTGTAGGTGGCGCTCGTGTTTCCGAATAGTGACCCTGTGATGTTCATGGTTGCATTTTATGGATGTCTCCTGGCAGAGCTGGTTCCTGTCCCCATAGAAGTGCCATTAACGAGAAAGGTAGCAAACCCATGGCTCAGGTCCCACATGGTTCACTTCTGAACTTCATACCAGCGGTATCTTACTTCCTTTTCACTGAGTGTGGGCAGGCAGCAAGCAGCTGTCTTGACAGAGGAGAGGAAGCTAGTGGTCGACAGGCTGGCCAGGACTCAAGAGAAATCAGATGCCGTTTGGTCTGACTCTCTTCTTGTTGGTGAGAGGGTCACTGAGAACCGTTTTGCTGGTGATGCTCCCACACCACACTCCTATGAGGTGGAGCTGTTCTGTCATCTACATGAATTTCCCAACAGAAATGATAGCCAGTTTTTCCTTTAATGAATAGAATTATGGTTCAATAAGATTTTGTTAAACTTTTCCTCAAAACCATATGTTTATAGAAAATAACTATTATTTCTTAGGGATAAATGTATCATTACAGTGATATAGCTCACTTCTCAGTGGCAGTTTTGAATAAACGAGATGGAAATTATCTTGTGTTTCTGTTCACTTACATGACAGTAGGCAGTTTCTGTTGCTGATAAATTATTAATGTGCGGTCTTGCTTATCTAGGTATCTATAACATTTTGAATATAAATATCAATAATCTGATTACTGAAAAAAAATATCATTTAGGAGTAGACAATGCCTGTATTTGAGAAAATCGGCTTTCTGTCATCCTGTCCCAGAATTCAGGCAGTTGTTAACATGAGCATTATCCACAAATATTCAAGAATCCCAAAAGTAAAATTAGCAATTAAAACTAGTGTATCTCAAAGGATAATATATTATGAGCAGGTATTTGAATGCAGTGATTCTTAGGAGTAAAACTAGAGATTTGTCAAATTTATATGAAGAAAATGACAAAATACTGCTGAGGGACACAGAAGACTTGGCTACAAGGAAACGTGTTTCTGTGTGGAAATAATCAATATTGTTAAGGACCAGGCCTCTCCAGGTTAATTTGTAAATTTCAAACATGATTCAATAGAAATTTCAATGCCATTAATTTTGGAGTTTGTTAAAAATGCTTCTAAATGTCATTTGTAAGAATGAACTTTGAGAAATTAGCCCATTAAACTTTATATTTCCCCACAAATAGAAACCAAAATTGTCTTTTAAATTTAAACATAGTTGTCACATTTTAATGAAGTATTCCCATGAAAAGATCGTATATATCAATAATAGGACTGAATTATTTTGGAAGTTTTGTGAGGGATGAAAAAAGATCTGTTCTGTGCATGGCCTGGAGCACCAAGGGTCTGGGTCTGGGCCTGCTGTGGGCACCCCACCCCACACTGTCACCCCGCTTTCTGCAGGACGCAGGCAGCCAGCAGGTCGGGTTTCTGCTGGGCAGCTGTGGAGTCTCCTTGGCCCTGACCACAGACGCTTGTCAGAAAGGCCTCCCCAAGGCACAGACGGGAGAAGTGGCAACTTTCAAAGGTGAGGCCTCCAAAGGGAAGAGGAGTCAGTGTTCTGACTGTGGTCTGTGTTAAATGCATGGTGTTCCAGAAATTAAACATGACAGAGGTGACTGGATCTTCAGCAAAAGTGATCCCTTGTTCAAGGCCTTGGTGAATCTCGGTTTTCATCTGGCTTCATGTCTCGACCTACACTGTCTGATATGGTAGCCACTGGCCGGATGTACCTTTTTAAATTACATAAAATGAATTGAGACTAAAACTTGCACTCGCATTCCTTAGTCGCTCAGTAGCTAGTGCTGCGTGTTGGAGGCGCAGGCTTCGAGTGTGGGGAGCAGGTGCCTCTCTGACTGCTGGCTGTTGTGTCCTGTCTGCGTGTCACAGGTTGGCCTCCCCTCTCCTGGCTGGTGATTGATGGGAAGCATCTAGCCAGGCCCCCCAAGGACTGGCACCCTCTGACCCAGGACACAAGGACTGGGACCGCCTACATTGAGGTAATGATCGTTCCTAACTCAGAGCATCTAAAAACGTGTCCCACAGGCTTAAGTCTTGCTTTTCCTAAGAATATAAGTTACTATTCTTTTTTGTTGAATTTCGGCCTAAGAGTTCTTGTTTTATCTCTGCCCCAGAAATACAGTGTCACGTAGATGGTTGCTCAGACCCTTCCAGGTTTCTCTCTTATCTCATTCTCTCCTAACTGGCTCCCTCGGGATGCAGACAGTTATGAGGGAGCCCATGGCGCATCATTGCCCTCGGGCACCTGCCCAAAGGAGCCACAACTTCCACTGAAGCATCCCCTCAGGGCCAGGGCTTGCCATGCACCTGGGCCTAGCAAGATGATTAGAGGGGAGACACTGACCACTTCTTCTTTTGAAGATTCTGTCAGTCTCCATTCTGTCTGTTGTCACCTCTAGAAATACCACATCATGTTTTTTTCCTTGAAATCTTTCAGTATAAAACCAGCAAAGAAGGCAGTACGGTGGGGGTCACAGTGTCCCACGCATCCCTGCTGGCACAGTGCCGGGCTCTGACCCAGGCGTGCGGGTACTCAGAAGGTAAGGGCTCTCAGGGATGGGGTGGTGGCCCCTCCAGCCTCACACAGACACCTGACCTACCTCATTATGTGACTGTCGCTGCACCTGTCAAAACCACCCCGGGTGCCTTTGCCCATTAGTCCAGGTCATGCCAGGTAGGGAGATGCACCGTCTTTAGCATGCTTGTGGGGTCTCTGTGGTTGTGCTGACCAGGAGGGCACACAGCGTCTCTTAGCAGAGTCCAGGCAACCCCATCAGGCTTGTTTTCAGTAAATGCACATGGATGTTGGTTTTATGGAACATGGAAGCTATATCCCACTGATACATTTATACACAGTGCTGGGTTCACAGGCCTGCCCTGGGGGGCTGGCTTACTCTGTGACATACTGAGGGTCAGGGTATTCGTTCAAAGAGAGGAAAACACTTTTAGTTTTCTATTACTGTATCTGTGACTGTAGTTTTGACCTTAGCTGTCATGCATATAAATATATGATTTATATTTTATATTTATATTTTTATAAATATATGGTTTATCTATATTATGATTATAGATGATCTCTTGGTAAAGTATAGTCAGCACCTGATTTACTTCAAATGTCATATACTTAGGGAAGTATTTTTAAATTAATAATATTTAATTGATAAGTACTAATTGTATATATTTATGGGGTACACCGTGACAGATAATTTAAAAAACTGTAAAAATGGACTCATAGTAGTTTTCTTACATTGTAATACTGGAACTGAACAAAGCTACAAAGTGAAATTGAATGGTTTAAATATCTAAAATATAGGTGTTTAGGCCAGGTGCAGTGACTCATACCAGTAATCCCACTACTTTGGTTTGCTAAAGCAGGAGGAACACTTGAGGTCAAGAGTTTAAGACCAGCCTGTACGACATAGTGAGACCCTGTCTCTACAAAAAAAGGGAGAAATTTTAAATAAAATTTTAAAAAAGAAAAAAAATAGGTGTTTAAAAGCAAGGGGGTAAGTTGAGGGCACAGCTAAAGCTTTTACTGGAGATTTGGAAAATGATTTTAGGTATTTTTTAAGGGCTTTATTAAGTTTAAAAAGTTAGATCTTTCAGATCAAGCCCCATGACTTTGTCTTCAGCCCAGAGCTAATCTTACATATGTCACCTATAATTTGGGTTCTTTAGCCAGGCGTGGCGGTGTGTGCCTACAGTCCCAGCTACTCGGGAAGCTGAGGTAAGAGGACCGCCTACGCCCAGGAGTTTTGGGCTGTGCCAACCAGGTATCTGCACGAAGTTTGGCAGCAACATGGTGACCTTCTAGGAGTGGAGAACCACCAACTTGCTAAGGAGAGGAGAACCGACCCAAGTAGGAAAGGGAGCAGGTCAAAACTCCCGTGCCGATGAGTAATGGGATTGTGCCTATGATTATCCACTGCACTGCAGCCTGGCAACATAATAAGATCCCGTCTCTAAATAATAACAATAATAATTTGTGTTCTTTAGCCAACAGAGAAAGGATGTTTATAGTACTGTTATTCATAGTGCAATAGCATTTCCTGGCACACAAATTAAACCTCTCCTATTCACCTTTGGAGTGCTGTGGCCTTTGGCGAGAAGCCAGGTCTGCCCATAGCCCCAGGCTCTGCCTTTCTGCCTGTGTGAGGTGGGAGCCAGATCTTAGAGAGGACTTGGCCGAGTGCTCTGAGCAGAGAGCTGTGCTGGGAACCCTCAGTACTGCTGTCCACTCCAGCGTCCTAAAATGTGTTAGCTGCGTGTCTCTGAATGAGCAAACGGGCAGAGGAAGAGTGACTTTCTGAAGGGTGATGTGAACCACCAGCTCTTACAGAGGAGAGATGCCGGATCACGGTCTCTGGGTGTGAGAATTGAGGAGATGTGTAGAGTTGAGAAGTAAGAATATCCGTGACAGTTTTTCATCCCCAGCTCTTGATTCTGAAAAGAATACCCCATCAAAATACCTGATGAAAAGATGTGGAGAGGCCGGGCGCAGAGACTTAACGTCTGTAATCCCAGCACTTTGGGAGGCCAAAGCGGGCAGATCACTTGAGGTCAGGAGTTTGAGACCAGCCTGGCCAACATGGTGAAATCCCTTCTCTAGTAAAAATACAGAAATTAGCCGGACATGGTGGCGCATGCCTGTAGTCCCAGCTACTTGGGAGGCTCAGACGGGAGAATTGCTTGAACCTGGGAGGCGGAGGTTGCAGTGAGCTGAGATTGCTCTGTTGCACTCTAGTCTGGGCAACAGAGTGAGACTCCATCTCAAAAAAAAAGGAAAGAAAAGATATGGTGACACCTTGTACAGCTTCTTCAGTATGTGATGTTCCCGTGCCTTGTGATTAGTGCTCAGCATGGTTCTGGGTGTTAGTTGCATGACCTTCTACTTTTATGTGTTTCCAGTAATAGATAACCTAGATTATTATTGATTGGTATGTGGTATTTGGAAATGCTATATCTGTTCCCTGAAACTTACGTGTTGATGATGTACTCACCTCAGAATTTCTCTAGAAAATGCATAGGGCTTATTGAGAGGGTTGCTCAGTGGTTTAACCTTCTTTGTCTACTTGCAGCGGAAACATTAACAAATGTGCTGGATTTCAAAAGGGATGCTGGTCTGTGGCATGGAGTGTTAACAGTGAGTGTTGTTTGCTGATGACTAATTTTTGGAACAAGGGATTGAGATGAACCCAAGCCTCTGCCTGCAGTGTTGGGAGAGTACATTGGTTTTGTTTTGCTTTTTCTGGTGTGGCTCGGGCCCACTCGCCCTGAGCGTGTCTGCTCCCCCACAGAGTGTCATGAACAGGATGCATGTGGTCAGCATCCCCTACGCGCTGATGAAGGCCAACCCGCTCTCCTGGATCCAGAAAGCGTGCTTCTATAAAGGTAACGGATACCATCGTCACGGCACTCACCCTTCTTTAGGGAAATCTCTTGGAACTGACCTTTGGTGATTAAGAACAAATAAAGCTGAGATGTGGAACTGCAGATGTAGGCTGAGGAGCCGTGGGATGTCTTTCTTGGTCACACCCCTGCCCAGGAGTGTGGGGGCTTTCTCTGCCTCGGGCATAGCCCTCAGGGTTTCATGGGTGATGTGGTAAGTAGGGCCACTTGGTGGGGTCTGGGCCTTGCTTCTCTCAGCAGTTGAGGTGCCTCTGGGGACCAAGCAGGAGGCCCCAGCATGGCCACACCTGCACAGTTGGCAGTCTGTGTCTCTGCCCTGTGGAGCTCAGTGGCACTTTTACCAGCCACTGAGGCACTGGATCACCTGGGTCACCCATGTTGCCTTGTTCTACCTGCTGGGCTGTGCCCCTCTGGACATGTCTCAGAGCAGTGTGGAGCGGCAGCTGTCTCTTGTCTGTCCTACTTTATGGAGGGAAACTGAAACTTGGGTGGGGGTGGGGGGATTGCTGGATTCCACATGCTAGCCAGTGCAGGAGCCAGACTGAGACCCGAGACCGTCTGTTTAGCTCCTGGGGTCCTCACACTTCTCAGCCAGCACCAGGGGTTTGGGGAGGGACAACGTGAGATGAAGTGGGCACATAGGAAAAGAACAATATGGAGCTTCTAAGAAAAAATTAACGTTAGGAATGGATCTGAGCTTTTGATGTCTAAATTGTATCTCAGAGTTGATTTTTGTGGAAAAAAGTTTGAGGGTTAGTTAGACTGCATGTGAGAGAGGGCTGCAGAGAGCTTCTGACCTGGGAGCTAAGTGTTGTGTCTGTGTGTGTACACCTTTGTGTGGGATGAGGTACACGTATCTATAGGCGTGTGAGGGTGCCAGCCCTCGTGACACAGGGATGTCTGATGTCTGTGCCGTCCTCTCTCTGCAGCTCGGGCCGCGCTGGTGAAGTCGCGAGACATGCACTGGTCTCTCCTAGCTCAGCGAGGCCAGAGGGACGTCAGCCTCAGCTCACTGCGCATGCTGATTGTGGCCGATGGCGCCAACCCATGTGAGTGAGTCTGTGTGGCTGGGGCATACCCCACACGGTGTCCCCTTCTGCAGACCGAAGTAGAACACACTGAGAAGCAAAACTGAGGCGTTTGCACTGCCAGTGTCATATAGATACACGTGTCCCATCATTTCTATGACACGGAACATCTTGTTGATTCACTGGTTTATCTCATGCATGTTTATTAGGCCACTAAATTTAAAAGCAATTTTAATATGCTTGATGAAAGGTACATGCCTTAATGAGAGTCATCTTTCTTAAGAAATTACCAGGTTGTGCTGTGGCCTGGGGTTCCTGTTTCTCTTTGGGCCTATCCCCAGCCTCTTGCCCTTTGTCCTGGTGCACCCACATCCCTGGCTTCTGGCTTAACTTCTCCCACCAGGACCCAAGCATTCTCCCTCCTGGTTTGCCTAGATGTTCCCCACGTCCTCCCGGGAGGAGCTCCCTGTGGCTGCTGCCTGAGCACGTAGGACCTCCTGCATGCGGTGGTCCCAGTGAGCACCTAGGACCTCCTGCGTGCGGTGGTCCCAGTGAGCACCTAGGACCTCCTGCGTGCGGTGGTCCCAGTGAGCACCTAGGACCTCCTGCGTGCGGTGGTCCGAGTGGGAACTGCTTTGTCAAGGCAGCAGGTGTGAGCTCGGGGGCCCAGGACTGTCCAGGGTCGGACTCAGTACCTCCTCTAGGGAAGTCTCAGGTGATGCTGGTCACACAGGGGCTCCTGTTGCAGCACATACCTGTTGACTAGGTGTTGGGGGTTTTGTCGTTTGTTAACCTGCATCGTTGTCTCTGCATTGGAGACTACCCTGGATCAGAAGCTGACGTTTCATCTTATCCCCTCTCCAGTGTGACCAACACCCCTGTGTCCCCCATCTCTTGGGAGAGCACCCCACCTTTCAGCACCCCCAGAGCCTCTCATTCTCTTGGTCCACACCCAAGCCAGGCAGGGCTTGCTTCTGGATTCTGCAGTGCTGCTCAGGTCTCCGCGTCTCCACTCCATGCCCACCGCTGCTTTGTGGTCCACACGGTGGAGTTGGAGTGTGCGTCTCCCCTCCAGTGTCTCTTCCCGTGGCACTCCCCGTCGCCGCACTTGATCCTAGCAGTGCTGTGCGGCCAGTCTACCGCTGCATGCAGTGCCCTCCTGTCCCTAGGGATGCCCCTTCTGCCCTTTGGAGCACCAGACCATTCGTGGCTGACTTCCTTTAAAGACACCATCTCCCTTGAAGAGCATGAAGTCTGAGGGCGCCTGTGAAGGGACCCCTTCCTTCTGCTGATGCAGCCCGGTGGTTCCGATGGCTGCAGGCTGTGCTGACTTGAGCATGTGCAGCCACCAGCCGTGGCCTGGTACACCCCCAAGAGCATGTGCTCCTTTTGAGTCAGTGGCCAGCCACCCCCTCCATGCTGGCCCCCAGTTAGTGCTGGTGTTCCACTCTTGTTGCTCTGTGCAGGGTCGATCTCCTCCTGTGACGCCTTCCTCAACGTCTTCCAGTCCAGAGGTTTGAGGCCGGAGGTCATCTGTCCTTGCGCCAGTTCTCCTGAGGCGCTGACTGTCGCCATCCGCAGGTAACCTCATTCCTTGCTATGTCTCGTGAGCACTTAGTTGAGTCCTCTGCATACAGCTGAGTTATCGTGGAGCTGTGCCTTGCCTGTTAGGATCCAGGCCCATTTGTACGGCAGCACCTTGGTGCCTGGCTCCCCACTTTTTGCCAGCTTGGGTTTGCGTGGGGAATTGGGTAGCAAGACTGGGCCATACTCTGGATTCTCGCAGAATGCCGGCTAGCGATTTTCCTAAGTGCTTCTTAAATTAGAAAGGCCTTGTCATCTCATTTGTAGCCGTAGTAAACATTACAACCTAGGACCTCTTTCTTACTCTGAGGCAGTTGTCGGTCAGCCGTGGAGTCTGTGGGAACCATTGACCTTCCTGGAGAAGCGTCCGGCCTGGTGCTTAGTGCCCGGCCCCCCTTCCCGGGAGGCCTGTGCTGCTCTTGTGGAGGTTTTCCTCAAGTCATCTCTCTCAGCCTGGAGGGCACGTTGAGCCTGCAGACTGCCCTGAGTGTCCTTGTGTGTGGGTGCGGGGCTGCTGGCCCTTCCTGTGCTCCTCACCCCTCTCCTGAGGTTTCCTTTCCCCTCATCTCACCTGCCCCACCCCCAGCTCCATCCTGGAGGCAGAACTCACTGTGCTCACAGCTGAGGTGTCTTAGCCTCAGTTGTAATCTTGTGTTAGCGTCATATATTCATAAATGGTATGTATTTCCACACATGAAAGTAATCTTAAGTTTTTATAAGTCACCCTAACTTGACCAGGCACGGTGGCTCACGCCCGTAATCCCAGCACTTTGGGAGGCCACGGCGGGTGGATCACCTTAGGTTAGGAGTTCGAGACCAGCATGGCCAACATAGTGAAACCCCGTCTCTACTGAAAACACAAAAACTTAGCCAGGCGTGGTGGTGGGCGCCTACAGTCCTGGCTACTCGGGAGGCTGAGGCAGGAGAATCGCTTGAACCAGGGAGGTGGAGGTTGCAGTGAGCCAAGATGGCACCATTGCACTCTAGCCTGGGCAACAAGAGTGAAACTCCATCTCAAAAAAAAAAAAAAAAAAAAGTAACCCTAACTTTTTAATCACTTAACATTAAAAAAAAAACTATTGTCGCCTACGAACTATAAATTATTCTTCATTCTTTTGTTCTGTGGTGATTTGTTTTGTGCAGCTGTATAATTTTTTTCTTATTGGAGGAAACACTAACATTTGTTGCTCAGGGTTCCAGTTACTATTGTGTATCACAAACAACAACAGTCATTTTATTGTCTCTCATGCTTTCTGTGGGCCAGGAGCTTAGGAAGGCCTCTGCCAGGTGGTTCTGGCTTGCAGGAGATGGTGTTTGGACAGGAGCGGTGAGGGGCTGAGACAGCCTTGTGTGTGTGCCGTCTCATGCCCCCACCTGGTCTCAGAGTGGGCTGCTCTGGGCTTTCTTGCAGTGCAGTGGCCTCAACACAGTCATTCTGTTTGCCTGGCCTTGCAGGGCTCCAGCCGAGTGTCCCAAGACAATCGGGTAGAAGCTGAATTGACGGTTTTGGCCTGCATTAGAAGTCACATGGCATCACTGCCACTGTCGTCACAGGCCCTTTTCCCACTGAGTGGAGTGTTGACGTCACATTGCAGAGGGGCATGTAGTTTGGAGACATTGCAGCATCTTTAGAACATGCGTTTCTCACAAGTCTGTAACATGGAGCAGTGGCTTTGGTGCAGAATCATGCTGCAGGCAAGGTGGGCCCACTTCCCTGGAATTTTATCCCCCTAGTCAGTTAACCCCATGGTGGTTTTATTTTCTAGGCCACCTGATCTGGGAGGACCACCTCCAAGAAAAGCGGTCCTGTCAATGAATGGTCTAAGTTATGGTGTTATCAGAGTGGATACTGAAGAAAAGTTGTCAGTCCTTACTGTTCAGGACGTTGGTCAGGTGATGCCTGGAGGTAAGGGACATAACCAGAGTGGGTCTTTGTCCATGACTGATTGACGTAACAAAAAGGGGTTTGTTTTGTTTTGTTTTGAGATGGAGTCTCACTCTGTCACCAGGCTGGAGTGCGGTGGTGCAATCTTGGCCCACTGCAACCTCCACCTCCCAGGCGATTCTCCTGCCTCAGCCTCTTATAAATGCTCCAGGCTTCATAGTAGTGCTCTAGAAGCAAGCATGCCAGTAAAAGATTTTTCAAGAATGTTTTTCAATGTAAATTGGAATTTTACTTTGTAAAATATTTGCTCAGTTTTTTCCCTCGCTTTGTGTTAAGTTTAAAGATAAGCTAAAACATAAAGATGCGTGTATGCCCTGTGCAGCTCACTTACAGTTCTTTGATGTTTGGGAAGATGGTGATAATAGCTCACTGTGTTCCAGGCACAGGCTTCATACTTCACAAGTGTTGAAGCATTTAACCCCATGACAACCATGTAAAGTGGGCAACTCTGAGGAAAATGGTAATGTTTGTGAATAACTTGATAATTAGGTTATCTAAGTAAGTTGTAGCAAGCATGTATCATGGTAGAAGCCTCATGGAAGCTTCCCAGAAATTCCTCTTATGTCAGAAAGGCCTATGTGAACTGTTCTGCAGAAGTCAACTCTGTAGGCCTGACCATCATGTTAGATGTTGGAGGTTTTCCTTGCCAGCCTGAGGCAGAATCTGGCCTGGCCCTGGTGATAGTCGAGTGGAGACACTGTCACATGGTCTGAGGCTGCCCTCCTTGTAGCCACCCGACAGCTACTTCAGCTTTCCTGCCCCCCTGTGATGGCCCTTCTGGGGTTCATGGGCAGCTGTCTGGGCCCCTTTTGGTGACTTCTAGAGGCAGGGCCCCATCTCTCAGTGCAGTCTCCCCCTTTCCAGTGCGGCCCTGACTGTGTTAGGGGTTGCAGGCACTGCGAGAGGCTCAGCATCCTGGCCCTTGTGCCTGCAACTCTGCCTCCTGCAGGCGGCTGTGCTGACGGGCTGTGGCTGCTCAGACCCTGTCTGTGGGTGGTGCTGGCAGCCCAGCCATCTCTAACCTGGAGCCTGGGGCCAGCTGGTGCCTGATCCCTGTGTGTGCACAGATGCTGGGTCCTCACTGAGTAAGACTGAAGCGTTTCAGCCTATGTTTCTGGCTTTACTTTTTATTCATATGAATAGCATCATTTTCTTCCTGTAATTCTTCTCAGAAATAGAACAGTCTTTCACAGTGCTTGAACCTGTGGGTAAAACATTTTCACACATAGCAGTAATTGGGGTGTCACTTATTTACGTTATGGGGAAAATACAGGTAACTGTTTAAACTTCCCTGGAAAATCATGATGAGGTCGTGATTCTGAATGAATCTAAGGAACATCTGTAGTTGTGCGTGTTTTATTGTAAAATGTGGATTAGGACATGACATGCGTGCGCAGCGCTCCCCCTTCCCCAGGGGTGTACATAGCACTCCCCCAGACATGAACTCAGCGCACCACCCCCCCAGGCGTGCACACAGCACTCCCCCAGGCATACATGCAGCACTCCCCCAGGTGGACCTCTGTTTCCCATGACCCTCCACAGCCCCCAGGCTGTGCCCCTTGTTGTGGCGCTGAGCCCCATGGTGAATCCTACGGGTGATTTGTCTTCAGCAGTTTTTTGATCTGCCCTGTGTAGGCCTGTAGCATTTGTGTTCACTATGGTATCAGGTGTGTGGTGGTGCTTTGTGGCTTTTTGTGACCTTGCTCAGTCTCTGTGTGCTTGTAAGTGTTGTGTGGCACTGACGGCCGCCTGGATGGCCGTCTGGAAGCACAGACAAGCACCACCTTCCATATCAGCCAAGCATGGCTGCATTCTCTCTGCGAAGTCTTTTATCTGATTTGTGGCAAAAGGCAGCAAATACCTGGTTGTCTCTTTCTTTCTTTTTACTGTCTTTGAAGATGAGAATACATTAGAAAAAACTCAAGAAGAGGCACAGGAACGACAGTTCCTAGCTGACCCAATGGGTTAATTGATTGCTAAGTAACCAAGTTTTGTTGAATGGACCATTCATTGCCCATTCGTTTGTGCGTCTCATGCTTTTGTGTGAGGCTATTTCTGGAGGCCTTTCTGTGGCAGAGCTGGGAACTAGGCAGACGAGATCCCTTGCGGGAGGGGAAGGCAGCAGGTCGCTGAGAGTTGGGTAGGGTGCACTTAAGTAAAAACAACTGGGTGATGGGGCTGTGGGAGGAGTCACGCTGAGGCCTGAGACATCGTGCTCCATGAAAAGGCGCATATGTGCAAATTGACCCCCAAATGCGGAAAGAGTCGAGAAACTGAAGGAGGCAGAAGGATCGTGTGTCAGTAAAGGGTGGTTCATTGGGGAACTTAACAGATAGAATCCTGGTCTTGAGTGGCTGCAAGACAGGTAGATGTCTGCGCTGCAGCCCTCCAGACCCAGGGCCTTTCTCTTGGGGAAAAGCATCTGCGCTCTGGAAAGAATGTGCACGTGGCTGAGGGAGCGCCCTGGGCCTCGTAGCCTGTGGTGTGTGCAGCAGCATCAAGGTCGTTTTGGAGGTTAGGCAGAACTTAGTAGGTGTTTCTCCATGAAGACGTCTTAGAGGCACTCCTGGACTGAAGATTAGTCTGGAGTCGCCTGGTGAATTAGCATTAAAATAAAGTTACTAGAAAGGGGGCAGGCATGGGCAGAGTTCTGTCAGGCTCTGGAGAGGAGCTGGTGTCCCAGGCTCGTGCGGTGGTGATGGTCAGGAGCCGGGGCCGGCAGCACCCCCCATGGACCCGAGAGAGCAGTATGACAAGAGGAGGCACGGGGTTTATTTATCGTAGTAGAGGAAATATTTTGTCAGCCCGGGCTTATTACATGAAGCATGTGTTGTACTTTCTGGTCACCTTACATTGATTATAAAAAATATTACATATAAAATATGAAGACTTACAGCTAGGTTGCATGTGTATCATCCGTATCATAAAACTCCTTATAAGAAGATGCTGTGTATATAATATCCTGTTTCCGTAACTGCACATACAGCAGCAAGGAGATCTTTGTGAATGATCCATTTAAACACGTTCTTTATTATGTTGAGTTTTTTTCTCATTTTAGCTAATGTATGTGTTGTGAAGTTAGAAGGTACCCCTTATCTTTGTAAAACTGACGAAGTGGGAGAAATATGCGTCAATTCCAGTGCAACTGGCACGGCCTACTATGGATTGCTTGGAATCACGAAGAATGTGTTTGAGGTTTGTCCCTTTTCCTGACTTTCATGTTGAAGTTCAGTTCTGTGAGCACTCATGGGGCCCCAGGTGTGCTGGGTGCCGGGGGATTGCAGAGGCTGCGGGGATGGTCTCTCTCCACACAGGCCCTGCCGGGGCTGTTGGCACATGGCCTGCACACTCTTGTGTGTCCTCCCAGAGTGAGGGCAGGGCCAGGACCAGGCACGCTGTGGAGAGCTGGGAGTCAGCGTGCTTCCCACAGTCCTGCATGGGAGAAGGGCGTGTGGGTGGGCCTAGTGGCCGATAGGAAGGCACTCACCATGGCCCCAGGGAAACCAGCCCTCTGCTGCGTTTGCATTGTTGTGATGTGAGTTGTTCAGGACAAGTCTAGTGAGGTCAGGGGAGGCCAGGCACCCAGAGCAGAGGTAAAAGGGATGCTTGTGTCCTGCCTCAGGAGGCCTGCCCAGGAGATGGAGCAGCCAGGCCAGAGAAACTGGGCTTATGCAGGGCCAGCCTCCTTTTTCCCCCGACTGGCAGGTGTACACATGGTGCTGCGTCTTCTGCTGCCTGCTGGGTCTTTTTTCCCCCAGCCAGCAGGCGTGCACATGGTGCTGAGTCTCCTGCCGCCTGCTGGGTCTTTTTGGTCAGTTGGTTGGGGTGACAGCCTGATCGTGCCCCTCTCCGCTCTGTGCAGGCAGTTCCGGTCACCGCAGGAGGAGCACCCGTCTTTGACAGGCCATTCACCAGGACAGGCCTGCTGGGCTTCATCGGGCCTGTGAGTATGTCCTCCTGTACCAGGACTGGCAGTCAGAGAAGGTAGGGGGTGTGGCTAAGGGACACCTCGCTGCAGTCCTGCCCTTGTCCCAGCCATTCCTGACCTCCCATGTGTCCTTGGTCGGTTGTGCTGACCTCCCTGCCCATCAACCCTACCTGTGTGCAGGGCCGTCCACACCTCCAAGACCAGTGCACAGTCCTGCACACAGGCCCAAGTCGGGAGTCCCTGGGGTGGATGAGGATGTTTTGCTTTTTGTATGGGTGGCACGTTCGAGAGTATTCATTATATCATTCTTTACCATTTTAGATGTCTAAACTATTTAAAAATAAATACTTCTATTTGTAACATCTTGGTCCAGTGTTTCTCTCAACTGGGCAATTTTGCCCCTTCCCTCCCAGGGGAATTCTGGCAACTTCTGAAGACATTTTTGCTAGTCACAACTCAGGGAAGGGGAGTGCTCCTGGCGTCTAGTGAGTACCTAGAGGCCAGAGATGCTGCTCAGAGCCCAACATTAGCCCAGGACAGCACCTGAGATGGTATTGTCAGCCCAGAAGGTCACTGGTGCCGGGTTTGGGACCCCACTCTTAGCTCAGCAGTTTTCAGTCCTTCACAAACTCTACCCACAACTTGTTTCCCACTTGTGATCCTTTCCCTTCCTGATGCTGCCCCAGCAGCCCCCATTCCTTCCACACAGTCTGCTCCTCTTCCAAGCCTGGCTTGTCACGGGGCCTGCATTGCAGGTTGGGTCTGTGGGGCGTTGACCTGTCTGCAAGGCGCTCGAGGCTCCTGTGCTGTTGGCCCCTTCTTGGGGGGCCTGACCATGGTCCTGGCCCATCCAGCTTCTGCTCTTGTGGGTGGAGTCCTAACCCACACCCTTTCCTTCAGGACAACCTGGTCTTCATCGTGGGCAAACTGGACGGGCTGATGGTCACTGGAGTTCGCAGACACAATGCAGATGACGTTGTGGCCACCGCGCTGGCCGTGGAGCCCATGAAGTTTGTCTACAGAGGCAGGTGATGCGCTGCGGACCCCTGTGCTGGGAGTAGATTCCTTCCATTTACAGCTCGGGAAGTCTTTCTGCAGTAGATGGAAAGCCCAGCAAATTTGAATTCACAAAGCCTAAAAGTTGTTGTACATCAGAAAACTCCTAAAGTAAAAGGAAAATAAGAGTTCCTTCAATTCCTCAAGAAAATAAGGTTTTGATGCACAATTTTGGGCAAAGGCTCAAGGGGACAAATCAGAGAGGGAAGAATTGAGTAAGCCTAAGGAGAAGTGGGTCTAAGTTCCTAATAACCTTGGAATGTGAATTAAAACAGAAAAGTGCCATTTTCTCTGCAAGACACACAGCACCCTACATTGCCTCTGGAATAAAAATCAACTCAACTTTTCTACATGTGTAAAGCAAGGACCTTAGAGATTCTCTTGAGCAAATAAATAGACATCTGGGCCTATGCCCCTGGGCACCGGGGCCAGGAAGAGAATTTCGCTCCTTCTGCTCCCAAGCTCTTTGTCTGGGAGGAAGCTCTTCCCCTAACTGGTCCACTCAACCAGCTGCCTTTTTAAATTTTATTTTTCTCAAGGGGTTGCCTTTTTTTTTTTTTTTTTTTTTTTTTTTTTAATGGCAGGGTCTCACTCTATCGCCCACGCAGGCTGGAGTGCAGGAGCATGATCCTAACTCACTAGAGCCTCCAGCTCCCAGGCTTCAAGCAATCCTCTTACCACAACCTCCTGAGTAGCTGGGACCACAGGCATGCACCCCACACCTGACTAATTTTTTAATATTTTTGTAGAGATGGGGTCTCACTATGTTACTCAAGCTGTTTTCGAACTCCTGGGCTCGAGCAATCCTCCCTCCTTGGCCTCCCAAAGTGCTGAGATTACAGGTGTCAGCCAATGTGCCTGGCCAAGGGTGTGCCTTTTGTTACTCAAACTAAGGTACTTGGGAGCCAGGCCAGACCCTGCCTTTGAGCAGCCCTTAAAGCAATTGCAAGGGGATTCTGCAAAATGGTGTGTCATCATGGTTAGTCTTGAGGAAAAAGCCCAGAGGATGGACAACAGAGAAGGTGGGAGATTGCTCAGGGGACTGGGAAGGGCAGGCTGTGCTCATGCGTGTGTGCGCACACGTGTGTGTGTACATGTATGTGTGCGGGTGTGTGCAGGGGGAGGGGGAGGGTGGCACAACCAGGGTCGTGACCTGCCCCTCACGGCAGAAATGGGGGACACGTTGGGCAGGTGTCCTTAGGGATAACATCAAGTAGCCCAAACCCTGCTTTGAGGTGGAACAGGGAGACCACCCCCTCACAGGGCCACCTGTACCTGATGGTACCTGGAGATGAAGCCCCCGTCCCCCAAGCAGGATCCTGATGAGGCAAGGCAAGCCTGAGTGAATAACTGGGGCCTGGGTGACTGCATCTGCAGGCAGAATAGCCTCCCTGTCCCGACTAGGGAAGAGCTGAGGAATACAGGAACTTGGAAATGGAACCACAACCAGTTGAGAGCAAATGTGCCATGGGAAGAAGAGCAATAGAAGATTTGCAACGTGAAATAAGATCAAGAAATGCTAACAAAGTAATTGTTCAAAGAACACAGTAGATGGAATACATAGAATGGATACAGCTAGAGAACAAGTTGAGAAGGTGGAAAGTCAGATTAGGGAACTACTCTGGAAGTAAAATAGGAACTTTAAAGGAACTATTAAGAGAGATGGGAGAGAAGGGCTAGTGTCCAGATAGCAAACTCAGGGAGAAGGAATGCATGGAGTGGAGCAGGGATTGTCTGAGGAAGCAGGTGGTTGGGGTTCTCTGGACTGGGAAATGGTCCACAGAGGGCCCCATGGCATGTTGAGCTTATCTGTATTCTCACCATGGACCATACAAAAGCCAAGCAAAACACGTCAGACTTCCCCACAGTGGAACTGGCACAAGATAACAGTGCACCCAATTTATCCAAATTGTTACTTAATTTTGCAGTTGTAATAAAAAATATTTTCAATCATGTAAATTTCAGAAGTTTTGACACATAAAGGTCTATACTGAAGACAGTTTTGGTCAAGATACTAAGAGAAATAAATTCAGGAAGTGCTGTAAGATGTATGAGAGTAAGGAGAACTCAATACTAGGTGAGGTCTGTTGTATAAATTGTGTGTGTGTGTGTGTGTGTGTACACACCAGTCAAGTCAAAGGGAAGGACAAGAGACAGTATATCCATAACATCCCAGAGTCAGAATGGTGTAGATACCCTGACATGATGGGTTTGGTGGGGAGAACATCTTCTTCTTTTATAAAGGAAAAGACAGAGATATCAACTCAAAGTCTAAAAGAAGGAAAAGGCAACACAGAACAAAGGAGGACATGTTGAAATTTTTAAGATAGTAAAAACACGTCTAAATATACTAGCCTCTATAAATGTGAATAGATTAGTAAAAGATGCAATCTGTTGGATTAAAAAAATATAATTAATAGAACTTTAGACAAATATTTGTGCACAAGGAAATTTACATCAGATTAAGGAATTTTTTCTTGTAAAAATGTGTGTCTCTGGGGCTGTTTTGCTTTGTCCTGAAGTCCTCTCTGTTTTCAACCATCCTCAAGGAGATTAGAATGATGAGTTACTTTATGAATTTGCAGCAGATAGCCTCATTTGATAGACTGCATTTTAAATATCAGGACAGCCTGCCTCTTCCATTGTGCGGGTGAGAATGCATCTGTGTCTTGTCTGGCCTCTTGCCGTGTGGCCATTTCCATGTCTCATCCCTCAGGATCGCTGTGTTCTCTGTGACCGTGCTGCATGATGACCGGGTCGTCCTGGTGGCTGAGCAGCGGCCGGATGCCTCGGAGGAGGACAGCTTCCAGTGGATGAGCCGTGTGCTGCAGGTGGGCACCCGGCATAGCCTATGGTTGGGTGAATCTCCCAAGCTGGCACCCCCACTCCTCTCCAAGCGCCGAGTGCTTGGCTTGTTCCGCCCTGTCCTCCTTGCTTCCAGCTTGTGTATCTGCATTTTTCATCACAAACTGACAAATTATAGCTGTTTGTGTTTATGGGGTATGAAGTGATGTTATAGTTTATGAATACTATATGGAATAATTAATATATCCATCACCTTAATATTTTTTTTTCTGATGAGAACATTTGAAATGCACCCTCATAGTGATTTTGAGATGTACATTATTTATGATATTCGCCAGTCTGTGCAATGTATCTCAAAGAAAAAACTTTCCTCCTCCTGTCTAATTGAGGCTTTGTGCCGTTTCCCCATCGTCTCCTCGTTGCCCCATCCCTCAGCCTCTGGTCTCAGATATATGGACATGTGTACACAAATACAGTGTGTGTGTTTCCCCTTTCTGAGTTAAATGGTAGAAAACTGCACACACTCCTCTTCATTTTGTTTCCTCATTTAACAAAATGTCCAGAGGGCACTCCATTTTCTGGCCTGGGGAACAGGTCCACAGAGGGGATGTTCATGTTCCCCGCCCAGCATCTCCCCAGCCTCAGGTTGGGGGCCTGTGCCAAACAGGGTCCTTCCCTTTCAGGCCATCGATAGCATCCACCAGGTGGGCGTGTACTGTCTGGCTCTGGTTCCTGCCAACACCTTGCCCAAGGCTCCCCTCGGAGGGATTCACATTTCTGAAACCAAACAGCGCTTTCTGGAAGGGACACTGCACCCGTGCAATGTGCTGATGTGCCCTCACACCTGTGTTACCAACCTCCCCAAACCTCGCCAGAAACCACCAGGTTAGTTGGACCTAACAACAGGATGCTGTCTAGTCTTGACATTGGTAGCAGCCGTGTTTGTGGTTAGGGTGCAGCCCTGCTAGACCCTCTAGTGCAAACAGGTTTGTTCTGGGGCTGGGGTCAAGAGCCAGAGCAAGTGTACACCCCAGAATGGTGCCGCCTCCTGCGAACCAGCCACGCATGGGGTAACTTAACCGCATCACCTCATGGTGGTTTCCACTTGCCTGATAGGAACCAATTTTAATGATAAACTCAAGGATGGCATCTTAGCTTTGCATGGCTAGGAGATGGCTCCCTAGTACTAGAAATGATGCCCAGGATCATACTGGAGCTTAAGGTCAAAAGTGCCTCTGTGGCCGTGCTGTGGCATAAGCCTTACCTGTCCCCAGGAGCCAGCTGCCTGCCTCGGCCCTGGGACCTGCCACAGACACTGGGTTGATGGGACCTTGGAAATCTCTCAGCAAATGGCCAACTTTCCTTCCCTCATTTTATACATTTAAAAGCTAATTTTAGAGTCTGGTTTAACTTTAATGCAATTTTTCGTTTCTTTGGTCATGTTGATTTCCAGTACATGCCAAAGTTTTTTTGTTAATTATTGAACACATATCACTAAATACACTAAACATATTTCCTGATTTATACATAAAGTACAGTGAAGCAAAATATGTTAAGCATTTTGGTGTGGCTGAGGCCAAATCATATCCTCAGAGATACGTCATGTAGTCAACTCTATATGGTGTGGTTTATGTTTGAGAGAGAGGTTCTCTTTGTCACTTAGCATAAACCTTGTAGCTGGCTTTCTGAGTATTTGTGTCTCAGCAGAAAAGTTAAATGCCTCATTCAAGTATGTTTTCAAAATAAAAATTGTAACGGAAATAAAGTCACGTGGTGATTATATATGAGAAGTTACCAGCTTCTCATTCAGAATCCCCCCATTTCTAGAGGTTGGACCAGCCTCCATGATCGTGGGGAACCTGGTTGCTGGGAAGAGAATTGCTCAGGCTTCTGGGAGAGAGCTTGCCCACCTGGAGGACAGTGACCAGGCACGGAAGGTGACAGGCCTGTTCCGGGGACGGGTGGACGGGTGTCCATGCCCCGGAGGTGCCAGTGACCAAGTCGCCCCCTCGTGCAGTTCCTGTTCCTGGCTGACGTGCTGCAGTGGCGTGCCCACACCACTCCTGACCACCCGCTGTTCTTGCTGCTGAACGCCAAGGTGAGGCAGTGTTGCACCCACAGGGATTGGAAACACCCGGGAGCCGGTGGAGCCCTTTGCTTGTCTAGTTCCTGATGCCAGTGTCCTGGTGCTTTTCATGGTTAGAGAGTAGTGTGCCTATGGACTCAGCCCCCTTGTCTGGTGCAGTTCTCTCTGCCTGCCCTTTCCTTTGTAGGTCCCTTGTTTTCCACACATTTCACACAGTAGTATTTCTATTGATTTTGTGTTTAGCAGGAAAATTTTCATCAGCTCAAGTTTTTAAAATTAAAAACAGTATACATGTAAATATTCCTAAGTTTGTGAGCTAAAAGGAAATGTTTATTTTGTAAAAAATTAGCCGTTTAGAATTTCTACATATGGTTACAACTTTTAAATAACAACTGTTGCTTCCTGCCCTGCTCCTGCTGCTTATTTGGAAGTTCTCATGTGTTCCAAGTCCCTGTTGTGTGCATTCCACAATGCTAGGAGCATTCCAGAAGTCAAGAAGGGGAAACCGTAATCTTCATATTCAGGTTGTGGGCAGGAATGCAAAATGTGGAAACACAGAAAGTTAAATAATTTAAAAACCCTGCAAGACTCCCTGTCAATGCACCATACAAGCTGTAAGAACTCTTAAGTTTTGATGTCATAAAGAGTAGGTCACTGTGGCTTAGAATATGCTGTTCTAGCTTTTGGTGCTGCTCATTCGAATTCAAAAAATACCTAATGATGCCTGCAATGTGCACAGTACACGGTAATAAGATTAAAAGGACTCCTCCTCTCAGGAGGTTTAAAGTCAGTCTTTCCTGCCGGAAAACGCGGCCCGTAAATCAGTCTTTCCTGCGGAAAACGCGGCCCGTAAATCGGTCTTTCCTGCCGGAAAACGCGGCCCGTAAGTCGGTCTTTCCTGCCGGAAAACGCGGTCCGTAAGTCGGTCTTTCCTGCCGGAAAACGCGGTCCGTAAGGGAGACTTTGTTTTTCTGGTGTACTGGACGCATCTAGAACCGTGCCCAGTAAACACTTATTTTATGATTGATCGAGTTCTAAAGCCTGCAGGCCAGCCAGCGATTTACCATTGACCAAGGTGAAATCAGCTTATGGGGAGAACCTCAACATCAGTACAGTGGAGAGGTGTGACCTGGAGTGCTGGGGAGGGGCTTTGGATGGAACTGTGTAGCAGGGACTGTGAAGCAATGATGCCCAGTGGCTCAAGGCAGGAAAGGAGGCCAGTGTGGTGGGGGCCAGGGTTACCCAGGGAGGAGATGCAGATAAGGCTGGGGTCGCTGGGTTTTCCATAAAGATGCTGTGGGATCCCGGGCCCTGGGGGCTTTGAGTCCCAGTCCAGTTCTCAGGTTCGGTCTTGATGGGGCCCTGACTCTATGGACTGGCAAAGCTCCCGGGATTTGGACTCTCAGGCTCGGCCCAGCCCTTGTGTCTGGGCACAGCACGGAAGTGCGTCCACTGGTCTCTCTTCCACTGCCTTCTGTCAGTAGAAGCCACCAGTCAAGACGCAGGGAGTTTGATGTTACACTGGTCTGCTCTGGAGTTCTATATTCATTAGACTGAATTGCGCTTTTTACTCTTAAGAAGGACTAAAAAAGCTGTGAGGCCTGGCATGGGATCAGGGAGGATGAGTTTCCTGAGCAGAGAGGTGGGGTTACAAGGTGTTTCTGTTTGCACTGAACTGGTCACATGGCCCCAGTGCCCCTCCACAGAGAGACAGGGTGAATGAAGGAGCTGGTGCGGTCAGTCCTAGAGGAGACGCACGGACACTCTGAGAAAGCCGGCTGCAGATGACACAGGCCCAGGCTCAGTGCAGGTGACCTGTGGGCTTGCCAAATAATACAATTCAGGGATGTTTGCTTATCACTTATTTATTTATAACGGTGGTGTATGGAATATTTTATTGAAAAGGCCAGGAAGGTCTTCTTTAGCCATGTGTTTCTGGCTCAGCCCTGGGTGAATGGAGTGCCCGCGTCGCTCCCTCTTAGCTGGACCACACAGGAGATGCTTGTGTGCCTGTCCCTTCACTGCTAGTGAGAGAGTACAGATGGTGAGAAAAGACACCAGTCGTGGGCCATGTGTGGTGGCTCATGCCTGTAATCCCAGCACTTTGAGAGGCTGAGGTGGGCAGATCACTTGAGGTCAGGAGTTGGAGACCAGCCTGGCCAACTTGGAGACCAGCCTGGCCAACATGGTGAAACCCCATCTCTACCAAAAAAAGACACCAGCCACACGCCTAGGACTGACACATTGTCATTATCATGGGTCCTAATCACAAGGGGTCGTGTGCAGGGCGTGCAGGCGGTGTGCACGCACATCTGCGAACAGCCCGCCTGCACGCACCAGCACACGGATGAGCTCAAAGATCGCTTTCCTAGGGCACCGTCACAAGCACTGCAACCTGTGTCCAGCTGCACAAAAGGGCTGAGAGAGTGGCTGCGGCTCTGATGGAGAAGGGAAGACTGAGTGTTGGGGACCATGTGGCTCTAGTCTACCCACCAGGTGGGCTCACTGTGGGTCTGTGCGCCTGCAGCTCTTCGTAAGCAGCCCCCTACCCTAAGCAGCACCCAGACATTCCCTCCCCGAAGCATCTTCCAAAACTAAGCTCAGCCCCTCCTCTCTGCATGTGTCTACCTCCTCAGCTCAGCTACCCCTCTGGAAACCTGAGAGTCACCCATGCCCTCCCCAGCACCACCTCCTCTCCTCTCTTGCAGGAACAGTGAACAGAGGCTGGTGGGAGCCTCTTGCGACCGGCCTCCTCACAGCCAGTCCTTGTCTCCACAGGGGTGGACCTCATCGCCGCGTTCTATGGCTGCTTGTACTGTGGCTGCGTGCCCGTCACCGTGCGGCCCCCGCACCCTCAGAACCTTGGCACCACACTGCCCACTGTCAAGATGATCGTGGAGGTGCGCCTACCTGGCCCGCGGGTCAGGGTCTGTGAGTGGGAGGCTGCAAGGCTACCCTCCGCTGCCCCCTTTTCTGGGCAGTTCGAGAGGCCCCTCCCACCCACCCTTGGCCCCTCGCCATGCAGGTCAGCAAGTCTGCATGCGTCCTCACCACGCAGGCTGTCACACGGCTGCTTAGGTCCAAGGAGGCTGCTGCCGCCGTGGACATCAGGACCTGGCCCACCATCCTAGACACAGGTGCGTGCCCTCACACTGCCCAGGACCAGTCCCTTTTCCTTTCTGTGTTGTAGGGGTGGTGTTGCCTGGCTGCCGTCCAAAAACACACGAGGCAAGAGCAGTCCTGGCAGGAGCCTGGCTGACAGCAGGGGGGCCTGTCCCATGTGTAAACCTGCGCTCCTCAGCCCACAGCAGCCGCACCCAGTCCCAAGTGGTGTGGAGCACAGCCTTGCCCCTCTCACCCGCCTCCTGCTGGCATGGGGGCTGGCAGCTCTCTGAGGCTTTCTGCAAACGCTCTGGGGACACCGCTCCCACCGCGTGCCACCACTCCAGCATCCCTGTCCCCATCATTGGTGAATGCTGTCGTGCCCCAGGAAATGCTGAGGGCCAGCAGGCGAGGGTCAGAAACCCCCCTGGCTCCCCTCTGCCGTGGACCTGTCTCAGCCCGGGCTGGATGGGGCTGGGCCAGGGCAGCTGGTGTAGGGGAGGGAAGGCTCAGAGCTGAACAGCCGGCCAGGGCCCCAAAGCCTCATGGGCTTGCCTCAGGGGGAGCGGTGCCTGCCCTGCTGAGCCTGTGCCCAGTTGCACCCCGGGAGGCAGTGGTGTCTGGCTCATGGGGCCACGAGAACTTGATGAAGCACGCAGAACCCAGAGCCCGTCCATGGCTATCTTTGCTGTGGTCGGGACTCTGGGCTCATCTGGGCTCTGCCATAGGCTCTGTGGCCTTTGGCAAGTCCCCAGTCCTCTAATCTTTCCTACTGGTCAGTGACGTGATGCCGCCTCTCCTCGCCCTGCCCCGTCCCCCATTTCCACAGGCTCAGTGTGGTCTTGGTGGGACCGGGTAGCGTTTCCATGAAGAATGAAATACGCTTTGCTGAGCACACACAGCCTGCATGGCCACGGCCCCACTGCTGTCTGAGCTCACTCTCTGCAGGACTCCCAAGGACAAATCGTGTGTCGCCTCTTGCCTGCGAAAGCCCAGAGCGTTCAGAATACATGCGGGAACGCTAATGTTGGTGTCTCCTGTTTAACAGATGACATCCCGAAAAAGAAGGTAGCGAGCATTTTCAGGCCCCCCTCCCCCGATGTCCTCGCATACTTGGACTTCAGCGTGTCAACCACTGGGATACTAGCAGGGGTGAAGGTAGGTCCTCTGAAATCCTGTTTGCCTCAACCCCTAGAAATCAGGAGGAGTGGGCAGAAAGGATGTCAGATACAGGTTTAAACCGGCAGGTCCTTACACAAAGCACAAGGCAATAATATTGCTGCTTAAGATTTGTGTTAAACACCAGTGAAGCCTAAAATGTGATTAGCCTGAGAGTAATGCATTTTCTGATGCATTATGGTCATGTCTAAACTTTCTGATCTATGACTATCTGGCTTCCAGGAACTGGTGGCTTTGAAGAATCTCTTACCTTGCTGGGAGCCAATAGCTCGATTAAAATTTTTCAGGCTGGGCGCGGTAGCTCACGCCTGTAATCCCGGCACTTTGGGAGGCCGAGGCGGGTGGATCACGAGATCAAGAGGTGGAGACCATCCTGGCCAACGTAGTGAAACCCCGTCTGTACTAAAAATACAAAAAATTAGCTGGGCATGGTGGCGGGCGCCTGTAATCCCAGATACTCAGGAGGCTGAGGCAGGAGAATTGCTTGAACCCGGGAGGCAGAGTTTGCAGTGAGCCGAGATTGTGCCATTGCACTTCAGCCTGGGGCGACAGAACAAGACTCTGCCTCAAAAGAAAAAAAAAAAATTTTTTTTAAATTCAATATCCTGAAATTTTGTTTCTAAGATTTTTAGTGTACATTTCTTGGGTATTATTTAGGTTATATGGGGATTTGAGCCAACCGTCTTTTAAGGAAATAAATATGATGTTTGGTAGTCTAGCCACGTGGACAGCAGACGCTGCCATCCACCCTCTCTCCTGGTGCACATCACTGAATTTCATTTCCCCTTTTTTAATTTTATTCCTGAGATGTCTCACGCGGCCACAAGCGCCTTATGCCGCTCCATAAAGCTGCAGTGTGAGCTGTACCCCTCTCGGCAGATCGCCATCTGCCTCGACCCCTACTGTGGCCTTGGCTTTGCCCTGTGGTGTCTGTGCAGGTGAGTGCAGGGCCCCTGCCGCCTGCTAGGTTGGAGCAGCTCGTGTGGCTCTTAGGAACCTTGGCCTTCTAAGGCACCTTTTCTGAGTGTTCAGGAAGCCGATGAGACGTGTGTGAGTGGATTTGTTTGGGGATGAAGTGGGTTGGAGTCTGAGTCTGAAATTGAGTGAAAATACAGTTTTCATTAAATACACTATCCATTATCAGTACTTGGGAAGAATCTGTTTGATTCCTTCAAACACTAGAAAGTAGTGATCCATCTCCATAAGTGAGTGCCTCTGGGGCATTGTCCCTGGATACTCTCCAAGTGTTTGGAGCAGAGCTCAGGACCCTGTGCCTGCCATCCCCCAACGTTCACCCTGTGGCAAGTTTTCCACCAAACTCCCCTACTTGGCATCAGAACAGAATCATGCCACTGTCGTGGCTGGAAAAGAAGTGTCCTTGAGGAAGGGAAGAGTGGAGTGCCCGGTGGGCAGGTGGAGCCTCACGAGCCTTCCTTCTCGCAGTGTCTACTCGGGACACCAATCAGTGCTGGTGCCCCCGCTGGAGCTGGAGAGCAATGTGTCCCTGTGGCTGTCAGCCGTCAGCCAGTACAAGGCCCGCGTCACCTTCTGCTCCTACTCTGTGATGGAGATGTGCACCAAGGGCCTGGGCGCACAGACGGGTGTCCTCAGGGTGAGTGCCCAGACCCAGGCTTCTGAGTGTGCTGTAGACCACAGCCCTGGGAAGTTTAAAAACAACAAAACAAAACAAGACTCCCAAGGCCCCTCCCTGCAGTTGGAAGAAGTAGAGAAAAACCTTTCCCACTACGGGCCCTGTGTACACATCCCTCCTCCATGGCTCACCTGTCTCTGCAGCTCCACACCCCGAAGGAGAGGCGGGTGTGGGAGCAGGGCAGGGTCCCTGCGAGATGGCAGGGTGGAGGTCTGGCTGTGTGGGAGGGCAGGTGTGGGATGCAGGTCAGATGGAATCCTCTAGTGCGTCCACACTTAGGATTCTATGGGACAGACACAGCCTGCAGAGAGGAGGTTGGTGTCCAGCTCCACCTCTGTGTGCCCACTCGGAGATATCCCAAGACAGTGCCCAGGGCCCTGGCAACTCACAGGGCTGTAGCTGTGGCCTGACTGCTCCCCCCTCCCGCAGATGAAGGGGGTGAACCTGTCATGTGTGCGCACGTGCATGGTGGTCGCCGAGGAGCGGCCCAGGATTGCGCTGACCCAGTCCTTCTCCAAGCTCTTCAAGGACCTGGGCCTGCCGGCCCGCGCCGTAAGCACCACGTTCGGGTGCAGGGTCAACGTGGCCATCTGCCTCCAGGTGAGGCGCTGGGGCCTGTGGTTCTCGAAAGCTGTTGGCAGCGTGGAGACCAAGCTTCCCAGCTGTTAATGTGCAATTTTGTGCCTGCCTGATCTCTTTCTCCTTCTCTGAGCCTTTGATGTTTCATTTCCACGTAATATTTTAGCTTCAAGAGTTTTATTTTTAAAGATATTCTATTCTAGTTGAACAAAGGCTTATTTGGAAAAAAACACAAATTGTTTTTGAACAGTGACTAATATCCTACCTGTAAGACTCTCTAAGTTAGCTATAATACACAGCTAAGTTCTTAAAGCAAGATTGAACTTACTATTTTAAGATATCTAGCAATATTAAATTGAAACATTAATAAATGTAATTTGTATTGACTCATTCATTTTTGAAACCTTGAAATGTCTCATTAAAAGGAAGCACCAAGTTTCAGAGATTAAAGAGCTCATGGCAATTCTGTTTACTGCTTCCTCAGATAGCTACAGCTATTTCTCAGATTTTGTACTAGTATCTCAATTTCCTTTCTTTCTAAAAACATCTTAAAACCAAATAGCTTTTTAGATAACCCTACATATTGAATACCTTATTCACCCACATTGTACAAAAATAGCTGGAAGGAAATGGCACCTGTCCATGCCAGAGCAGGGCTGAGTGCGGGTCTGTCTCTGTTTCCAAAGTGTTTGCTTGGCCTTGTGCCTCCCCGTCACAGTGGCTGTGCACGCAGGGCAGGGTGGCGGCTCTGCTCACACCCTCTTCCCCACAAAAAGACCCCTGACCACTCAAGCCTCACACGCCTGTCACACAGCAGAGATCGGGCCTTTTGTGAGCTCGCTTCCTGCTGTAGGCTGTGGCTGAGCGTGGGTGCCGGCCTGTGTGTTAGTGGCTCTGCGTCTGCAAGCCTGGGGCCTCCTTGCTAGACGTGGGAAGGGTGTGGACGCCACATGTGATTGCAGAAATGAAGTTAATGGATGTTCACGTTTGCTCTTTAAGATACAGAGGTGGGTTTTGCTCTCTCTTTCCCTGTGTTTCTCATGTGGCTGCTGCTTCTGTGTGTGTTTCCTGTGGCTGTCTCCTCCCTGTCTCACTCTGCTGCCTCCTTGGCCTCTGTCAGCCCAACAGGCTGGGAAAGCTGGCTGAGCAGGTATGACCTTGACCTTGACCTTGTTGGTGCCTCTGTGCTTCCCCCTCCCACGAGTTCATGTGACTTTCTCGTGAATTCTAGACAAACATGTTTCTTTTGCTGTCTTACTTTGTTCACAGTGGATATTACTTGACATATTACAAAAGCTCCCTTGTCACCAAATTTAAAAGTAAAACTATTTTCAAAAAATGTTAATGCTCATTGTATTGCCTTGGGAGGAAGGGCTCTGTTTAATTCCAGTGCAGACATAGTTTATGTTGTTTGGGATCTTTAAGGGTGATGTTGATCAGCGTACTCATTTAATTTGATGTTCCTTATTGAATAAAATGACACATAATGTCCGTTAGTCGGGATTAATGTTAACTGTAAGGTTCAGAAAAGAAAGGAGTAGAAAGGTGAAGGCTGCCGTCCATCTCACCTGGGTGAGTCTCGGCTGCAAGCAGTCCCCAGTAGAATTAGACTGGTTGCTGAGAGGCCAGGCCCTGCCTGACAGCGTGGTGGAAATGCCCCTCAAATCCTAATGGTGTTTTCATCACAGCAAGAGACCAGTGGGAATAGAAAGTTGTTAGAGCTGAAATGTAAAGTGGCATGATTTGGTGTTTTCAGAGTCACTGACTGTTTCACTCAATATTATCAAGCTCTGTGGATGTTTGGATGGAAGGCATCAGCCTGCCTGGGGGACCTCAAACCCCTAGGCAGACTTGCTGCAGGGAGCAGAGCGGCTCCCTTCTTGGGTGTCCCCGGGGGCCAGGGAGGAGCTGCCATGCAGCTGTGCCTGTGCAAACAAGATGAAAGTGAGGCCCCTGAACAGAAGTTCCTCTGCTGCTCTCCTTCCAGGGCACAGCTGGCCCAGACCCCACAACCGTCTACGTGGACATGCGGGCACTGCGCCATGACAGGTAATGTTCCCAGCCTGCCTGGGCCCCATTCATACCCGGCGGCAAAGTGGTGCGGACCAGGTCTGCGCTGACCATGCACCCCTGGGACCCAGGCATTAGAGGACAGCTGGGCCAAGTCAGGCCTACCCAGGCACCTGGATAGGCACATGAGGGGACAGCTGGCTACACTGGGCCATCTGCACCAAGAGGAAGAGGAGAGCTGTGAGCCTCCTCTTCCCAGGGGAGCTCAGTGTCTGCCTCTGTGCGCCCGCGTCCCCAGGGCTGCAGTTAACATCCCTGTATCTGTCACACAGCCAGGAAGAATAAGTGTGACCCCTGTGACATTTGGTTTTTTAGAGGGATAGGGACAGACAGAAGACAAGTAATCTGTCTACTGGCAAGAACATTTCTTACCTGATGCTGTCATAGAATCTGACTTAGTTTTCATTTTGATAACCGATGTGGTGCATACAGTGTGTGCTTGCTGGTCTGTGGTCAGGTGTGTATCAGGGCCTGTCCCAGCTTTGAAGCTCAGATCCCAGTCCTGGGTTCTCAAGTATGGCCACACTGTAGCTTGATGTAAACACTAGGTTTAGCTTACTGGGTGCCAGGGGCCTGCTGGGTTCAAGGAAGACCTAAAAGAAATGTAGAGTGAGCTGCTGTGAGCACATGGGGTGGGTCGTGAGTGCATGAGGGTGGCAGCACTTGGGACCGCAGCGTGGTTGGGGTGTCCCTGCCATTCATGGCAGGTGTGCTGTGGAAAGGTTGACATCCTGGCTGTTGTCAGCAGACCCTCAGAGTGATCATTTCCAACCTCATGATCTGCCCTTTTAGACATACCTGTGTAGTAAATTACATACTGAAATTGTTCCCTTGATTTTTAGGGTACGTTTGGTAGAACGAGGTTCTCCGCACAGCCTGCCATTGATGGAGTCTGGAAAGGTAGTGGAAACCAAGACGTGTGCATTCTGAGTCGTGTCTGAGACGTCCGTCTGAAGCATCACCCCGTGGAGGGTGCTGGGGGCTGCGGCTCAGATGAACACGGGTTGACTTCTGGTTGGGGTGGGCTTGGCTGCTGCAGAAGCTGCCTTCCCTGCTTTGTGACTGGGATATAGAATTACTTAGTTACGTCTTTAAACACACGTCTGAGCTCAGAGCCAAGAAAGGGAGAACTTCAGGTATAGGAATAAAGAACTCCCACTGGGTGGGTGGCAGGCCTCAGGCCTCCGGGGCCAGGGCCATGGAGGCAGGGTCCGGCCCACCTACACATCAGTGGAGTGGCCCTGACCCTAAATTGGAGATGGCAAAATCTCATGCCCTAGTTTAGGGTGTCAGCAGGGAAGAGGCCCCCAGAGCCTGTAGGGGATCTGGGGGATCCTGAGATGGCCTGAGGACTCCCAGGAAAAAACTGAGATGCTGCAAGGGGTCAGCAGACATAGGCACAGAACAGCATCCTCTGAATCGTTCAAAGGAAGGAGGTTTGAACCTCCTTTGGTTCAGGAAAGGTTCAAAGGAAGGAGGAAAAGCCACACAGCCCAGGAAGGCAGCATGAAGAGTATGCCAGGCTTGATGTGAGTGGGCAGCTGCTGCACATCCAGCGGGGGCCGCGGGGGCCCTGGTGGCTTCACAACCCCAGAGACAAGAGAAGGAAATTGGCCACCCTGACTCCGTTCATTGCCGTGGCCACAGCCACCTGTGGGGAGTCAGAGACGGGCCCAGAGAGGGACCCAGCCAAGCCACGTGATGTCTAGCACACAGACTCCTGCAGGGCAGCAGGGGTGAGACTGGGGACAGAAGGCACAGCTGCTGTGAGGGTCTCGAGGTGGGAGCTACTGGGAGGACAGTGGGACTGGGCTGAGTGTGGGGAGCAGGAGTGAGTGAGTGAGTGAACTCACATGCAGGTGCAGGGGCTTGAAAAGCTCCCATCCCATGTCCCCTGTGACAGTCACTTTAGGAAGTAGACCAGCCGAGAGTGGAGCTGGGTGAGCTTAGTGGACAGCACATCTGTGGGAGCCGGGGCTGCTGCATGTCCTCCCTTCTCTGAGCACAGGGACATGTGAGCCGCCATCGCCAGAGCTCTGCATCATCCTTGGTGTAAACTCAGCGGGTTTCCCTGGGTCGTGGGGCCTCCACGCCGCTCTTTTCAGTGGCTGTTCCTGCCCTGCCATGTACAGCTGCACTGTAATTGTTTCACTCACCCCCTTTTATTGGACATTCTTTCCTGTTTTGCTATTACAATCACTTGGGCCTGATAGGTTTGTGTCCTGGAAAGAGCTCTGGTTTTGGGGCTTAGCTGGGACATGCAGGGCGAAGATGGAGGCTCCAACAGCATCTGGGGAAACAGAACAGTCCCACCTGCCGGGGAGGGTCTGGTGCTGACCACAGCTCACACCTCCCTGTGGCCCCTCGTCCCCTCCTCCTGCCAGGAGTGCGACTGCCCCCATTTCATACGTGAGGAAACTGAGGACACAGAACAAGCATCCAGGTCTTGTGCAGTCAGGTTGTCCGACCTGAGCCCAGTGAGGGAACGCTGGGACCGGGCCTGGGAGGCCAGGTAAGAGATGGTGGCCTCTTGCCTCTGAATTGGCACAGAGCCAGTGCTCAGTGGTTGGACTGACTCGGAGTCATGGGCAGGAAGAACTTCCTCGTGGTCAGGTTCCTGGCTGAGAACTAGGACAGGCATGTGCCTCCTGCAGGGCTGGGCACAGCAGGGTCACTGCACCCCTGGATGTGTGCCCGTGAGGTGCGCTGGCATCACCTGGCTGATTGTCTTCGTAGCCTTAGTGACCCTCTGCCCCTCCTGACACCCAAAGATGGGGTCCCGTCTTAGGAGCTGGAGTCATTTTGCTAAGATTCACAACTTATTTCTATTGACATCTCTTTTTCAAAATTCGAAGTCAAATTTGGAGCAGCCTCTAAACTTCCTGACCTGACATAAGCACGTCAGTCCTGCAGGCCAACTTCCAAGGGACGTTATTTTAACGTCACTGAATCAAGAGAGTCTCGTGCCATGTTTTCTTTAACAAGGGACATAGCTCTCCTCCTTCCAGATCCTCCCTGGCGTGAAGGTCATCATCGCACACGCTGAGACCAAAGGACCCTTGGGAGACTCGCACCTGGGAGAGGTGAGCTGAGGCCAGGGGCCCATGGGAGGGGCTTGAGCTCTCCAGCCTCACCGGCTTCATCTTCCTTCTCTTTTTGCTTCAGATTTGGGAATTCTAAACTGTGGAATAACACTTGCCTTTGGGAATCTACCAGAAACCATTTGGCCCTTCCCCCATGTACCTCCCAGACCCAGTTCCCATGTAGGGTTTTGGGGTACTGTGGGACAAACTGCCTCATCCCTAGGTTGACCTAACCAACAGAGGGGAACCCCTAGGTGTGAGGGCACTGGCAGGTGGGAGGAGCTGCACAGGCACCAGTGGCAGCATGGAAAACAGCTACCTTGTGCAGGACCCAGCAGCTGCTACTTAAAACGTCCCTGGCACCCAGGGGGGAGCACAGACCCGGCGGAACTGGTGATAGAGAACTCTGCTCCAGAAGAGTTCCAGGCCTCCACCTGCCCTGGGAGGTTCGGAGAGCTCAGAGCCCTTGTCCTGAGGGTGCAGGTGGAAGGTGTAGGTCTCCCTGAGAACACGGAGGCTATACAGGAATCCATTGGGTTGAAATGTCTACATGTATTGCACGTTTATCTTGCTGTAATTTGGGACAGGCACGACTCATTATTTATGGGCAGCGGTGGCAGCTTGACATGCAGTCATGTCCCGAACGTGCAGATTGATCTGTTGTCATGAGAGCTTAGGACTCACGTTCCCAGTCCTATCCTCCTGGGGAATGTGCTGTCAAATTGATGTCTTCAGACCAGGCAGGCACAGGCATCATTTGTGGGCTCTGCTGTGAAGCCAGACTGGGGGCTTCCAGCAAGCCGTGCCCAGTGGGAAATCACTCAGCCTCAGCTGGCTTCTTCTGACTGGGACAAGGGTGTGAGCGTGTGACCCCTCAGGTGGTCTTAAACTGTGTCCTGATGGGAAGGTGTCCTGGGTCCCAATCCTGAGTGTGGATGAGTGAGGGACCCTCCCCTCAACCATCCCACTTCTGGACAGCCAAACCCAGGTCTGTAAGTCAAGGGTGTGCCCCCAGGAGATGGCGAGTCTGAGCCGGGAATGGGGACCCACCCCTCATGGCAGATGTTCAAGGGAAACGCCCCTGTTGGCCACCCCCTTCTCCTCTTTCAGACGCTGCCATGCAGGGGCGTGTTAGAGCCAGTTGAACTGACTGTAGGTTCTGGACGGACTCTGTGTCTAGAAGGGCCCCATGACACTTGGTCCTGCAGGCACAGGCCTCTGGTCCCTTGGTCTCTGCATGGATGCACACAAATGCCTACATGTGTGTAGATATGCGGGTGCACGCAAACATGTGAACAGACTGGTGGACACACACGTGCACATGGATAGTGGACGCACACACACACGCATGGGGCTGACGTTAACCCTGGGACGTGCTGTCTGCTTTCAGGGCCTCTGTCTTGCCATGAGTCTGAGCAGCCACATGCTCTCCACTCTGTAGGGACCCTCATTCCTTCAGCCTGTCCCTGTTGTGGAATTTGGGTTGCTTCCAGCCCTCTCTTATTGCCAACAATAGTTGGATGTGAGGAAGGTGGAATTGCCCCTGTCTACTTACCCACGTAGGATAGAGTCCTACAGATGCCATTCTTGGGTCAAAGGAAGAAACAGTATTTAAGAAGAGAAAAGTTATGTTTGCTTTCTGTGCCTGTAATTTAACTTAGTTCATAAAATAAGAGACAATGAATATTATCCGCCCGACTTCGTTCGGTGTTTTCTGGAGCATTATTCTTGGCCAGTGGATGTCTCGTGACAGAATCTGAACTCGGTGGTTGGTGACACTTCACATTCTTGTCCTCTGGGCCCCACCAGATCTGGGTAAGCAGCCCCCACAATGCCACCGGGTACTACACCGTCTATGGGGAGGAGGCGCTTCATGCCGACCACTTCAGTGCCCGGCTGAGTTTTGGAGACACACAGACCATCTGGGCAAGGACTGGCTACCTTGGCTTCCTTCGACGAACAGAGCTCACCGATGCCAGTGGAGGTGAGGGGTTGTGGTGAAGTCCCACGTGAGTGCTGTGCGGGGAGGATCTGGGCTCCCCAAGAGCTTGGTCACCTGCTGGCACACCTCACTCCTTGCTGTGGTCTGGTATTGTTCAGTGTGGGGGAAAGATACTCTGACAGCGGTTTTCTCTGAAAATACCGGTTTCCCTCCATGACTGCCCCTCGCTATCCTTGGGACCTTGGCCTCTGCTAAGGGGTGGGGGGATGGTGTTGGTGATAAGGCTACCAGGCTCCTCAGGGAGGCCTCCTCCTCTCTGCCAGGCCGGCCTCTCTGCCACTGTGTCTTTACCAGTGGCTTTCCCATGCACAACCCATTCAAAGTTGTGGCCAATGTCCAGAGGACTCTGTGCAGCCACCACAAGCTGGCCAGATAAGGCAGAACTTTTGGTAGCTCCTATAGATAATGTCCCGTTCCCAGAGATAAAAGTTATTTTTAATAACACGCTCACACTTGCTGTAACTTTCCTGAGGTGGTTCCATGCTGCAGAGATAACAGCCTGCACTGCCAGTACCTCCATCACCGTCCCTGCATATGGTGTGGGACCTCATGATGTTTGAGCTGAGACCTCCCTGTGCCTGAGAGCCCCTGGTTGGGCTCAGAGGATACGAGCCCATGGCTCGGCCCATGCCTCTGCATGCCTCGGCTTTCTGGGCACATGTAAACACACACTGTTCACAGGGCGGCATGATGCACTGTATGTCGTTGGGTCTCTGGATGAAACTCTGGAGCTCAGAGGCATGCGGTACCACCCCATCGACATCGAGACCTCTGTCATCCGAGCACACAGGAGCATCGCTGAGTGGTAAGAGTCCAGGTGGAGGGCGGCTCCACATGGTCCATACAGCCCTTCCTCTGTGCGTGAGTGCTGTGCATCGCTTGGAGCAGAGCCGAGGACTGCTGGGCCTGAGCACAGGCCTCCTACATGGTCACCCTGGTCTGCAGTGGAGCTGGGTGCCATGTAGACGAACCCTGTCTACCTTGGGCATTGCCAGAGAGGGCTGAGGACTTCTTGTGGGTCCTCCCTCTGGATGTACTCTGCACAGCATGGTACCAGAGCACACCTTGCTGCCTTTGTTTGGGTTTGGCTTGTTTTTTTCTCCGTTTCTTTATGAGTTGTAAGCCAAGAGATTGTCCCCAAATGCACAGGCAAAAGGTAAGGTTTCCACAGGTCTCATCCTAAAGTGTTTCTGCTTTTAATGTGTTTCTCACATGGTTGTGACTCCTGATTCCTTCACCTGTGGGGAACTTGTGTTGGGACAGGTACAGCTTTCAGCATCAGATAATGCTCCTGATTCTCAGTAAAAGCTTTAGTTGGAATAGACATCCTGTAAAATGGATCTGGCCTGATCTTTAGGTTGTGAATAGCCTTAAATAGCTCTGTGACATCAGTGTGCTTTGCTCTTCTTTGTGCCACCCTTTCCCAAGCATTCATTGGCCCCTGTGGCCTGTGCCTGTGTCCGTGTGACCCCATCTGTCTTTCCTCTGCAGTGCCGTGTTCACCTGGACCAACCTGCTGGTGGTGGTGGTGGAGCTGGATGGGCTCGAGCAGGATGCCCTGGACCTGGTGGCCCTGGTGACCAACGTGGTGCTGGAGGAGCACTACCTGGTCGTGGGCGTCGTGGTCATTGTGGACCCAGGGGTGATCCCTATCAACTCTCGGGGTGAGAAGCAGCGCATGCACCTGCGGGACGGCTTCCTGGCTGACCAGCTGGACCCCATCTATGTGGCCTACAACATGTGAGCGCAGCACCCCAGACCGGGTGCCGGAGACGAATGAGCTCCAGCAGTCCAAGGTGATGTGGGAAGACACTGCAGAGCCCACGCACCGGGACTCGCCCCTTCCTGTGCTCTTACAGATCCCTCTCAGCAGCTCCCTGCATCTCCTTTTAGAAAGCACTTCCTGAATTATTTAAAGACATATTTTGAATCTGCCAAGTACATTTACAAAAACACAGATGCTGGTATTTTAACAGATGGAGAGACAAGGAAAGGAAAGGAAAGGCCTGGCGTGGGCATTGTGAGGAATCACAGGCACCGAGGTTGTTCTCTGCTGTACTGCAAGTTTGCACTTTCTTTAGGCTAAAAATGTAGTTCCTGATTTTTAAAATTCAGTTATTTATTCCCACTTCAAATGACAAGTTCATATATAGAAATTACGGAGAGAAACTTGAGACCATTTACAGAGAGAAACTTGATTCTGGGAAGATAGCAGAGTACAAACCAGCTGCCTCACTTCTGTTTCACAGGGAGGCTGATGGAAAGGAAGCAAGCTGGACCCATCCTCCCTGCTCACAGAGCACTATGGTCACACGCAGTGCCTGCTCTGCCAGTTTCGTTATTGAAAGAGTTGTGCTGGCTGGGCGCAGTGGCTCTCGCCTGTAATCCCAGCACTTTGGGAGGCCAAGGCGGGTGGATCACGAGGTCAGGAGATCGAGACCATCCTGGCTAACACGGAGAAACCCCGTCTCTACTAAAAATACAAAAAATTAGCCAGATGCCGGGCGCAGTGGCTCAAGCCTGTAATCCCAGCACTTTGGGAGGCCGAGATGGGTGGATCACGAGGTCAGGAGATCGAGA